GCTTCAAATAACAAAAAAAATACGTCCCAAAAAGGACGGAAGTGAAATAATGTAAGTATCCATAACCTGCAGGGAATAGCCTGAGGTGTTTATAGCAGGTTACCTGTAGGTCAGGACAATGACTACGATAGCCTGAAGCAAGCAGGTCTCCAGAAGCATGAGCATAACTCAGGTTCTTACAGGCACAAGTTTCAGACAGCCCTGCAGCCCCCAGGTGAATCATTTAGCCAACTGCTGGGAAGACTCCATAATTGTCTCATGGGTGACTATAGGAGAATATGTTCAAACATATATCGCGCTGGAAGAATGATGGCGTCGAGTGTCTGAGGGAATGCAGCCATGTTTGCCGGCCGCTGTGCAAGGAAAACAGCTCGAGTTGTTGAGCTGTCTGTAGTTGTCTTACCTAGATTACATGTAATTACTGTTCTTGCAGTTCAGTGGGAAAACTTTTACATGCCTTAACCACCATTTGCCTGCCCGTCTCTTGATCTTTTCGCAATATTAGGCAAGGAAAAAAAAAATAGTTACCTCAGTAATATATGTCTACAAGTATAGTCGCTGATATACATTTACCTTGGGTTTTATATGTATACAGCAGTAGAAAATAACCACTAAACCAGTATTTCCCGACATGGAGCCCAAATCCCATAGTGGGGAAGGGGACAAGTAGATTGTTGGGGGAAGGGGGGGGGGCAGGTAGATTGTTGGGGTGGGTCGAGGTAGTTTGTTAGGGGGGGGGGGGGGCAGGTAGATTGTTGGGGTGGGTCGAGGTAGTTTGTTGGGGGGGGGGGGGGGGCAGGTAGATTGTTGGGGTGGGTCGAGGTAGTTTGTTGGGGGAGCAGGTAGATTGTTGGGGTGGGTCGAGGTAGTTTGTTGGGGGGAGCAGGTAGTTTTGTTGGGGTGGGTCGAGGTAGTTTGTTGGGGGGAGCAGGTAGATTGTTGGGGTGGGTCGAGGTAGTTTGTTGGGGGGGGGGGGGGGGGGTAGATTGTTGGGGTGGGTCGAGGTAGTTTGTTGGGGGGGGGGCAGGTAGATTGTTGGGGTGGGTCGAGGTAGTTTGTTGGGGGGGGGGGCAGGTAGATTGTTGGGGTGTGGTCGAGGTAGTTTGTTGGGGGGGGGGGGGGCAGGTAGATTGTTGGGGTGGGTCGAGGTAGTTTGTTGGGGGGGGGGAGCAGGTAGATTGTTGGGGTGGGTCGAGGTAGTTTGTTGGGGGAGCAGGTAGATTGTTGGGGTGGGTCGAGGTAGTTTGTTGGGGGAGCAGGTAGATTGTTGGGGTGGGTCGAGGTAGTTTGTTGGGGGAGCAGGTAGATTGTTGGGGTGGGTCGAGGTAGTTTGTTGGGGGAGCAGGTAGATTGTTGGGGTGGGTCGAGGTAGTTTGTTGGGGGGGGGGGCAGGTAGATTGTTGGGGTGGGTCGAGGTAGTTTGTTGGGGGGGGGGCAGGTAGATTGTTGGGGTGGGTCGAGGTAGTTTGTTGGGGGGGGGGGGGGCAGGTAGATTATTGGGGTGGGTCGAGGTAGTTTGTTGGGGGGGGGGCAGGTAGATTGTTGGGGTGGGTCGAGGTAGTTTGTTGGGGGGGGGGGCAGGTAGATTGTTGGGGTTGGGTCGAGGTAGTTTGTTGGGGGGGGGGGGCAGGTAGATTGTTGGGGTGGGTCGAGGTAGTTTGTTGGGGGGGGGGGCAGGTAGATTGTTGGGGTGGGTCGAGGTAGTTTGTTGGGGGAGCAGGTAGATTGTTGGGGTGGGTCGAGGTAGTTTGTTGGGGGAGCAGGTAGATTGTTGGGGTGGGTCGAGGTAGTTTGTTGGGGGGGCAGGTAGATTGTTGGGGTGGGTCGAGGTAGTTTGTTGGGGTGGGTCGAGGTAGTTTGTTGGGGTGGGTCGAGGTAGTTTGTTGGGGGAGCAGGTAGATTGTTTAAAGGGGGTAGTGGGTATACGCCTGCAGTCCATTATATTAAATATAATATTATAATGTATGTTGTATGTGTAACATTGGAGGCTTTAAGAATTTGAGAAAGGCTTGGGTGGGACATCGCACACCTAAGTGTTGGCAAACTCTGCCCCAGACCGCAAGCTTTAAGCAGTCTCATACTTACTATGGACGTGAGATTATGGATGAGGTCATTGCCCAGCCAGTAGTCAGCGTCCGAGGTCCCAAAGCCCGTCGTGTAGTCGGTCCAATTCCTAGAGAAGCTCACGTCTCCTTTTGTACGTCGCTGCCAGAGAGAAGAATAGTCTAAGAGTAGACAGAAATGATCACAGAAAATCACACAAAACGAACATATATGTATACACGGACAAGACAAAAACAAAGACATAAAAAATATGCATAGACAGACACTAGACATAAAAGCAAACTTACAGACCAACAGATACATAGACATAAAAAAGTACACTTGGACAAGCAGCCAGGCGGATAGAGAGACAGAAAACGTTGACAGCTAGAAAAACATACTGTTGCTATCACTGGTTGACATGTGGCCTGATTCCTGCTTCCTGTATCGTCCAGAATGCTCATACATACTACTTCTAATGCCTGAAGTCAACCATATACATATACACACACCTACTCACCGCGCGTGCATACACATACATACACACACGCACACAGACATAGATACACGCGCATACGCACAGACACACACACCTACCCACGCCCATGTCTATTCTTGTGTTAGATGCATAAGTGACCTCAGTTGGCGGTAGGGGCATTAAACAGCACCCACCCCTACCCCGCCCACTCATTTTCTAATCAGTCGCAAGATGGAAGCTCTAGGGTCTTAATCCTAGATTAGGAGCATAATAATAATAATGTCATAAATTGTTAAACAAACAGTATGTTACCGTATTTGGCATAATATGACACGCTTAAACTTATATTATTTTAGCCAATTTCTGTATATGGATTAAAGAGGCAACTTAGCCCCTTTGCACAGTGTCTGGGAGCCATACTAAAGGAGTCATTGAAACCTTGTGCCTATCTTCGTTTGGTCGGCCTCTGCCCCTTCTTCCTGGTACCATGGCGTCTGCTTTTTTTTTTCCAATCCGTTATGGCGCCTGATATGACCAAAATATTTAAGCTTCGAAGACAAGATGTTGTTTATAAGCCAATCTTCCTTGATTTTCAGATCTTTCAAATTTCAGTATTCTCCTCTTCTTTTTTCATAATATTCTGAGAATCTTTGTATAGCATTTTAGCTCAAAAACCCATATTTGCCTTTTTAAGGACTAGGAGATAGTTTACGACTCACATACGTATGTGGCTACAGGGGAGATGGTCTACGACTCACTCTGTATGTTGCTACAGGGGAGATAGTCCACGACTCACATCCGTATGTTGCTACAGGGGAGATAGTCCACGACTCACATCCGTATGTTGCTACAGGGGAGATAGTCAACGACTCACATCCGTATGTTGCTACAGGGGAGATAGTCAACGACTCACATCCGTATGTTGCTAAAGGGGAGATAGTCCACGACTCACATCCGTATGTTGCTACAGGGGAGATAGTCCACGACTCACATCCGTATGTTGCTACAGGGGAGATAGTCAACGACTCACATCCGTATGTTGCTGCATAGAAGATTTTGATTTTCTTGCTGGTGCTTTACCGTAGACTTTTAATGCTGCGTAATCTTTAATTCACGCACAAAAGTCAATTTTTATCGTTATTGAATTTATTATCTATATATATAAAAATCAATGTTTGTGTGTTTGTTTGTCCCCTATAGACTCGGAAACCACTGAACCGATTTAGCTGAAATTTTCAGGATATGTTTGTTTTGATACCAGATGTTGAACCATCATGGTTTGAAATTCAACCTCTCACTGTTAGAGATAGGTGACCACAATTTAAGCCATAATATTCGAAACTAATATTTAAAATTTTAGTGATTTCTAATTATAGCCACGTTAGTAATTTCGCATGCGCTGTAGTCAGAACGCAAGGCTTCCACCATTCGCCGGCGAGTTACGTGCAGCCAACGCCTTCTCTAATACACAGAGTAGGTCGTGGTACAGCAAACAAGACTATTTCTATATTTGCCACAATAACCATATAAAAAACGCTTTCTATTTTCTTTTTTTTTTTTTAACAACCTTCGATGGGGGGGGGGGGGGGGGAAGGGGGCATCAAGGACTATCTCGACGTCGGCGCAGACATTGACTGCGACATTACCTTCATTAACCGTGTTAGACACGTGCGATTTCTATTGTTGTGCCGTTTCATTAATATATCTGGAGTATCTGTCTACGAGAAAACAATTGCCTGCGGTTTTGAGTTGTGTTATAATCGGGACACAGTAGTAGGGACACATATCTCTAATAGTTTAGTTCTCTTTTCGGTGCTCCGATTAAGTGGCTGCTTGGTCGAATGTTTAGAACACTGGGTTCCCGTGCGGGAGACTAGGGTTCAAATCCACAGTAGTTAATTTTTTTTACCCCGGACTAAAATAATATCCTCATCTGCTCTGTCGTGGTGACAGCACTAGCAATGTTGCCCTTAATACTAAAAAAAAAAAAAAAAAAAAAAAAAAAAAAAAAAAAAAAAAAAAAAAGACAAGTAAATGGGTAAACCATTTGATAATTAAATTTGACCATTTCGCATACTTATGATTGCATTTTTAAACTTTCCGATTGCATGGTTACGCTGAAATTTCATAGCTTTCAATTTATTTTCATTTAGATTTAGTTATTTTATCTGCGTTGGAATTTTAAGCTGTGCTGTTTACCATAGCGTTCATTTCCTACTTATGGTTTTTTTTTTTTTTTTACTGTGTTCATTTGCTTTTCACGTGTTTTTTCCCCCCTCCCAACTACTTTCAATGAGGGAAAGAGTTGTCGGTGAATGTAGGGAGGGGGGGGGGGGGGCAAACTATTAACTGAGAGAGCTTTAAGTCACAGTAACTGCTTTACCCACTTAAAGTAGCAGCAGCAGTAATAGTTGTGGTTAGGCTGTTACACCGTAGTGCTCTCATGTGAAGACCGCTGGTAAGGTTATGGCGTTCTTCTGTCGGCAAGTGAAATTATACATCCTAACCTGACCAGTCTGTGGCGACAGCACTAGCCATGCGGAACCAAATCTTCTGGCTCACGACTCTCTGTCTACTCCGATGGTAACACAGATAGCAGTGACATTATTTTAGCTACTGTGGTGGTGGTCGTGGTAGTAGTTGTACTGGTACTTGAATGATGATGTGGTAAATATTACACTAGCCCCATTCACTACCTATTACAATTCCTGCTCCCCATTTTAGTCCATTTTTTGTCAATGTCAGTTACAGCAACAAAAAAATATCGCCAATAATGATTTTCAAATCCTTCAGAGAGGGAGAGAGCAGTAGTCCGTGGAAGAGGTGAGGGGAGGGGGTAATGACTTAAATTTAAGAGAACTTGAAGAGCTTTACACGTGATTTTCAAGTTCTCATTACCTAATTTGTTTATATTCTACTAACGCTACCTCTGCTTTTCTATTTTTTTACGACTTCATTTTGTTATTCACAAGTACAGTTGTAGCTTTACTTCCGTCCCCTAAAAAAATACAAACAGCTTTAGCAAGTTATAACCAAATAACCATTTTTGTTACTGTGCTAATAACACCATTTAAACGACCACTAATATAAAGACACAATAATAAGGTGCGTGTTCTAAAGTTGGAAAAAAAGGCTATCTCTATATCTGTGCAGAAAATGATTGCGACATTAACTATAATAGACACGTGCGATTTCCATTGTCTTTCTTTTCCAAAAACCTTTGATGAGGGAGAGAGTAGTAGGTGGATTTAGTTGTGGTGGTGGGTGGGGGGGGGGGGGGGGAAATCAAAGACTATCTCTATATCTGAGCAGACAATGATTGTATTAGACACGAGCGATGTCTATTTTTTTTTCATTTTCATTTAGCCAAACTATGCCACAGCAATGCGTGGCCGGGTACAGTTAGTTGTTACATATAATCCACCAGATTAACATAGTGGCACTAGATTAACTGAGTGGCACTAGATTGCTTGAGTGGCTGCATGAACAGAATAGATTAAAATTGTGATTATAGTGGGGGATTGCGAATAACAGCGTTTGCACATAATGATGATGATTTCTGACTGAAAATGGTTGCAACTCCCGCATAGGACTTTGTACTTCTTCTTGCTATTGTTCCTAGATTCCGCTTTATACTTTCTGTTAAATGGCAGCTTCTGAAGGAATTTCCTTGCAACCACAGGTGTGAGCGTTAGCAAGCCAGCCATCCAGCATCCATGTTGGAGTTGTTACCTGAAAGATGATCCATCCGCCGCCATCAGTGTGTGCCTCACACAGGGCCTCCACGTTATTCCACAGGAGGATCTTCAGCCTGGCCACTTTCTTTGACATTCCCTTGTAGCAACTGACCTGGAAGATGTAGGTTAGTATTTCAGTTAAAAGTTAAAGTTCAAGTCAACAGAATCGATTTCATTGCCCTTTACTTTATTCCACATGGCTCGGTCTCTCTCCCCAGTCTCTCTGCCGAGAGCACTGTATAGAGCACGAACTCCATTGCTCTGGCAACGATTCCTATGGATCTCCGCAAAAATTTCATTCGTGAACCGAAGGGTGCCTTGGAGTGAACCCGCGACCTTCAGAGCGCGAGGCAAACGGCTTGACCACTTCGCCACTGAGGCCTCCCCCCCCCCCCACCCCGGAATGTTTCTATAGTTGGGGGCAATGTAGGATGGGTATTGTTGAATGGTTCAATGGCTGTTATTTCAATAATGGTGAGCAATTAGCAGTCAAACTGAATAATTCAAAGCTTCATCTTTCATTAGTTGGCAATTAACTGCAAAGCTGAAAGATTAAAGTTTTGACATATTTAGTTGAAGAAACAATGTATAGTTAAGGTATTGCAACTAAAAATATACTCAAAGAAATGTCATCTGTTTTGGGACGGCTCAGACATAAGACGGGCGGGTCTAGTTCTTTGATACTAGAGAAAAATATTTTAGAAACTTAAGAAGTCCAATCAACAACAACGTTACATGGTCATGCAATGGCATAGCGTTTGATGACTGGCAGAGGTGAGTGTACATGTATGTCCACAGCATAGAGTAGAGCAGCCACATGCTGGCAATTACAACAGGTTGCAAGTTTTACTTCAGTATATGGACAAGAAAACCAAAAAGTCGGTATAACAATGAGACGTCGCTAAAAGATGTCAATGATGTGCCTGCAATCTAGCGACTACTGGCCGCTCTTCGCGACTGTGACTCTAGGTACACATGTCGTCCCTACAACGTCTGTGATCCTACAGTTATTATGCTGTTCCACGTTGTCGGTTCTCTGCTTTAGTATTATATATTGTGTGTATGCTTAAATTCTACTGGCTCTAGACCCCGTTCCGCCGCTCAGTGTAAGGTTATGAGGTGTCAGCTTTTGTATGTGCAACATAGATGCTTCTCTTAAATGGGGATGTGATGTGTATTGTTACTCAGTGATGGTTCTTTATGTGCAGTGATAAGTTAAATGACTGTGATACAAGCGGAAGTTAAAACACAAGTACTACCAGCTGGGGGATCTCGTACGACTCGTTGTGAAGCTCTTCCAGGGTCTGCAGACGCAAGAGAAGACTATCTAACTTGGCTTCAATACTCCTCGTCTGGTTGCTGAAGAGACTGTGATCCTTGGCCACGTCGACTGAGTGGGTCTCTATTGTGGCTGCCATTTTTGAGAGAAGAACAGAATCTGTGGAAAGACAGACACCTATTCGTAATGGACATTTAATATAATGTTTCTCTTCAAAGTGATCACTGGCATTGCTGCAGTTAAGTTTTACTAGATAAACTATATCGTAGTTTGTCACAATCTGCAGGGACCTAAAAAAAATCTTTTTTATTTTTTTTATTTTCACGAATGCAATTTTCTTTTAATATTTTTGAGATGCAGTTTTCTTTAAAATAGCCTTCTAGAGGATGATACAAGGTCCGACAAATAAGTAATGATACTGATTTTATTATGGCCAAGACAAAAATGTCATCTATGAAGCAAAGCATGGAACCAAAAGAGGCAACCTTCGTCTATGATCTGGCAATCTTTCATCGCCGCCCGAGAAGCTGACAACAAATAAGCCGCAATTTTGTTGACCCAGTCAGAGGTGTATTGTTACAAAATCAGCATGGAGCAAAAATCTAACATTAAATCATGTTTAAAACTCAGAAAAAGCGGCACAAAACAGTTGAATTGATGCGACAATTTTATTCTTTATCTCGTGCACAGATTTTCAGGTGGTATTCACGATTTAAATTTGGTGTGGAAATGATTACTAATGCAACTAGACCTGGATGTCCAATTTCTGTTCGTGTTGAGGAATTTTTTGCAAAAGTCAGAGAACAAATAAAAGAAGATCATTGTTTGACTGTGAGGATGATGGCAGATATATTTGGTTGTTATAGATAGACCATTCGTAAAATTTTAGTGGAGATTTGGGCAAGAAAACAGTAGCTTGCGCCGGTTTGTACCACATTAGTTTTCTGATGGCCACAAACATCAGCGTGTTGAGTACGTAAAAGGCATCATCAAAATGTGTCACAGAAATAAACATTTCTGAAATCTGATTGTAAAGAAAAAAAAAAAAAGTAAACATCCCTTTTCACGCCTTTCGGCGCATCGGGCATATGGGCAGAGCGTCCCATATTTTTACAGACTATTTTATCAGCTTTCTGTGGGTAATGTGGTCAGCATTACGCCGGCTGTCTTTACTTTCCCAGGACAGCCCATCCTGGTACCTATGTTAGGCTGGGTCGACCGGCGACGTCCCATACCACGATAAAAATCCCCGCAGTCTGCAGTGGGTTTCGATCGCGGTATGCTGGCTTACGAGTCGGACTCGCAACGCCTTAGCCACGGACGCCGCAATCTGATTGTGGCAGCAGATAAAATATGGATTTCCCACTGTGATCCCACAACTAAACGCCAAAGTGCTTAATGGAAGTCATCATCATCACAGAATGGCAAAAAGATCCGCTTTCAAAAGTCGGAAGTGAAGACTATGTTGGTGTGCTTCTGCGACAGCAAAGGAGTTATTCACAAAGAATTTATTCCAGAGGGGCAGACTGTGACAGCCATCGTTTTTTTTAAAAAGTATATCGAAACGTCTTTGAGCCCAACCCGAGTATTCAACACCTGGCAGTTGTTATTTTTATATTTTCGTGAAAATGCACCGGCTCACAGGGGAGTAGTTGTGCCAGAAATTTCTGCCAAAACAGAATCGTGTATTCTCAGCCTTCCAGCCTATTCCCTAGATTTCTCTCTCTCTCTCTCTCTCTCTCTCTCTCTCTCTCTCTCTCTCTCTCTCTCTCTCTCTCTCTCTCTCTCTCTCTCTCTCTCTCTCTCTCTCTTTCTCTCTCTCTTATTATTTTTGACTTCCCAAAATTAAAGTTAGGATTCAAGGGACGCTTCTTTGACAATATTGATAACATCTGAAGGACCGTAACATTGACCATAAGGGCCATAACAACAGAAGAACTACAAAGGTCTTTCAGTGTTTGTTAGATTGTGTTACTTGCTTACTATGCATAAGATACAGGTTATATCTTCAACTGTTGATTACCGGGCTTTGCATAATTTGATTATGTCAGTGGTTCTGGACTGAAAACGACCCTTTCACAGGGGTCGCCTAAGACCATCAAAAAACACATTTTCGATAGTCTGAGGAACGCAAACACCACCCCTCTGACTCCAGACGGGTCCGCCCACTCTGCAGATACGCCACGTTCAGACACTCTCACACACGAGTACTCGGCGCCATAATGTTATAATGCGGACCAGGTATACATATGTAGAGTGTAGAGTGCAGCTACTGTGTAGACTGCAATAATACTGGAGATAAAACGACACCTCCTGAATTATAACTGCCTTGTAAATGTAAAATCATCAACTACTGCAACCAAGACACCAACACAATATGTACGAACAGAACTTAAATGGGATGCTGTTGTGAATTTCTATCCTTCGAATCTATGAAGTCGAACAAACTAAAGCGCTATTTTGATAGTAAATACCTGAGCTTTGCTGGCAAGGATAGTAATTATTTTATAAGCAAAGATTTTGGACTCAAGAAAGACAGACGACACTGGTGGTAAGTAGCACAAACGTTATATATACATTATCACTTCCCGTCCTTTTTAGGATGGATTGTTTTGTTATTTAAAGCCCTACTCTGACTCTTGCCAGGGGCCGCACATGGTGGCACTTTGTGTCATCGGGTGTTTATCGCTTGTGTGATGTCCTGGTGGGGTAGAAAGTCAGTCGGCACAAACATTGAATCTGTTGATATACATATTTCTACTATCCATATATTTAAAGTTTAGTAAAGAACCCGTAGTAGGTTTTCAGCGCTAGAACTATATTTTACAGACCAATCGGCACTTAGTGTTTGATGTGGTCAGCATCATACCGTCCGCCTTTACTTCCAAGACTCTATCCGGTTCCCATTTAAGGTTGAATCGGCCTGGGAGCCAAAGCCATTTAAAAAAAAAAAAAAGTACAGCATCATCAGGACCCGAAGCCACGACCTTATGATCCGCAGACGAGAGTCTAGCCACTACACCACGGCGACGCCTCTATAAATTTAAAACCAAGTAGAAAATGTTCGAAATTACCCCAAAGTCCTGTATTTTTCTTTCGTTCATTTTTCACATGAAGTTTTGAATTTCTGGGTCCCACCCCCCCACCCCTTTTTTCACTTTCTAATTCCTCACTACCCGTTAGAAATGTATCTAATCAGTGTATAGTCTGTATCTGTTATCTGGAACGATGGTCGCATTGATTTTTCCTCCCAGCCTTGTATAATTGTCTGGATACACCAGGGATTACTAGAGATCCGATATACCGAAGATAAAGTATTGCTCTCTTTATTACAGACTGCTATAGACAACTTCATAACCCCAACCCAAAGAAATAGTGAAAATCACAACTTATTTCTTAACATAGCAAAAACAAAGATAATGCATACAGATAAAACTACCATGGAGAAAGAAATATATGGTAATGAGGAAAAATTTGGGGTTGCGAATAATTTGCATTATCTTGGGTCATTGCTTACCAACAATGGTGACAATGAAAGTCATTGAACGATAACTATCAGTTGCTCTTCAAAGACTAAAACAACTGAATAAATTATGGAATGGGACTGACAAAACTACACAAATTAGATTTCTAAGAGCAAGCACCTTTCCCATTACAACATACACCTGTGAGACCTGGGCACTTACTAAACAAGCTGAACAGCGCATAAATGAATGCAAATGTTAAAGACGGTTTCTAAGAATATCATAGTTAAAGAGAAGAACAAATGCATGCATTCTTCAAGAACTGAATACTCAAGATGGTTGGCTATTAAAGATGATAAAACACAGAAAATGGAAATATGTTTTGGTCACTCAAAACGTCACGAAAGTTTGAAGAGAACAATAACAGAGGATGTATGTGTCTGGAAAGAGAGGAAGAGTAAGGACAGAGAGAAGACGCGTGCAGGATGTGGCGGATGATCTCCAGATGGGTGTATCGGACGCCGGATATCTTGCTTGTGATCTAGAAATTTTCCGGAGTATTGTTGTGGGAGCAAGGTTCTACAAAGGACATACTACTGACTGCCACCAGAGAGTACTATTCTATTCTTAACAAGCTTAACCGGGTCGCCTATAGGTCTGTGAATGTAATCTCAAGAGTTCGCCTGCTGCACTTTGTGTATAAACTGTTTTTTTTTTTGTTTTTTTTTCTGAGTAATAAAGTTTTTAAAAAAGTTTAGGGGGGGGGGGGGGGATTTTGTCTCTGATCAGGCATAGTACTGAGCACTGCATTTAAATACTACAGAAGTGATTCTGAGCACTGCATTCAAATACTACAGAAGTGATTCTGAGCACTGCATTCAAATACTACAGAAGTGATTCTGAGCACTGCATTCAAATACTACAGACGTGATTCTGAGCGCTGCATTCAAATACTACAGACGTAATTCTAGGCACTGCATTTAAATACTCCAGACGTAATTCTGAGCACTGCATTCAAATACTACAGAAGTGATTCTGAGCACTGCATTCAAATACTACAAAAGTGATTCTGAGCGCTGCATTCAAATACTACAGACGTAATTCTGAGCACTGCATTCAAATACTACATCACCTAGCTTTTCTCCTTCAGGAGTGACCACTTCCTTGACCACCACCAGCTCACCGCTGGTGTTGATAAAGTTGAGCTCACACAGAAACGACCCGTACAGACAGTCAAACTCATCTTGAAACTCCAGCATCAGGTATCCGTGGAAACGGGTGACCTGTCCTGTAGCATTGATGACATGGCCTCTAGCCATCTCCAGGTGTGGGCTTGGGTCTAACAGCAACATGGAGGCTTGCTTAAACAACAGCTTATGGGTCACACTGATCTTATAGATTCTCAACGCAGTGATTGACTGGACGGAATTCTTGTCGTCTCTGAGGTCTGCAATACATTTGAGCCGTGCGCAGGAGTCAGCGTCAGGAGTTCTGTCCATGGTCACCTGCAATCCTGCAAGATGAACAGAAGTGGAGGTGAAAGAAGGAACAGTTTGCAATCCATTGCCTGATGGGCAGCAATGGCTACTGTCATTCTAAGTTGATGTGCTAGCGGGAAGAGGAAAAAGATAATATCATATCTAACTTTGTCTCGGATGGTTGTTGTCGGCTTTTCTCAGGCATCTCATTTCACAGGTGTTAATTGTACTTAGGTGAGCCTTTGTATGTCCAAGTCTGGCACTGGTAGCACAGTGTTGTAATGAATATGCTGTTTATAGTCTGTTTCTTGGCGCATATTCATATGTTTGGAAGTGCAATGAGGTGAATCCCCAGGGATATTCTAGAGTTTAAAGATTGACGGGACAAGGTCAGAGGGTCAGGAAAACGAGAGACACCGGGGAAACACACGTCCCGAAGATCCCAGGTTCTGTGAATGGAGTAAATGAAAAGCCTGGTATTGGAACGAAGGTTTTGAACGAAGAGACGAGGTGGAGTCAGCTGTGTTTTAACCATTTGAGAGGTAGGTTGTTTGATGGTACGACCGAGGTGAACGTCATTGTGAACTGGAGAAACGCCGTTTGGAAAGCCCGAGTGTCTGAGGAGAATTGATTCTGAATGACAACGTCTTGTATCTGAGAATATTTTTGTTATGGTGATTCAGATGCCAATACCTGAGCGAATGGAACGCTCTGACTTGCAGGTAACTGCAATCATTGTTTAACTGTCGTCTTGTTGTGGGAGGCTGTCGTGAGCAGGTGTGAATGACTAGAGATAACTGTGGACATCGATTGAATAACTTACTATTGTGCCACAATAAACGATATCAACGTTAAAAAAAAAAAAAAACACACTTATCTTTTGTGCCATGCATTATGGAAAGATGTCAAGTATTTCTGCTATTTTGATTTATTTGTTTCAACACACCCCTATCCTGTTACTTATGTTTGCATTCGACTAATTAATAAAATGCACCTGCCATTTAAATTGAAAAGCGGGATGACAACTCCAGAAAAAAAAAAAATATGATCAGTTATTTCTAAGTATGTTTGTACTACTGCACTTCCGGCAAGTTGTATCGCTTTTGTATGGCAGTTGTGCAGTGACACGCGACTCTTAACTCGCTACACTAGCCTGTAGAACAATATTATTCTATGGGACTAGACAGACTAGACAGCATGAAGAAACTATGGCACAGACTAGACAGCATAGAGAAACTATGACACAGACTAGACAGCATAGAGAAACTATGACACAGACTAGACAGCATAGAGAAACTATGACACAGACTAGACAGCATAGAGAAACTATGACACAGACTAGACATCATTGAGAAACTATGACACAGACTAGACAGCGTAGATAAACTATGACACAGACTAGACAGCATAGAGAAACTATGACACAGATTAGACAGCATGGCAAAATTATAACACAGACTAGACAGCATAGAGAAACTATGACACAGACTAGACAGCATGGAGAAACTATGACACAGCACCTGCCAGCGAATAAAAGTTGAAAAATGGAGATTATACGCCTTTCCCTTTGCAACTTATGGGCTGTACCCAGTCATTGAAGAAACAATTCGGAGCTTTTGAACTGAAAGGTTACATACAAATACTTATAATGCTATGGATCCAGAAGAGGAAAGCATGATCCTACATGAAATAAACGAGAACTGGCTCACAAACAGTATCCTGTCCCGAAAGCTGAGGTTTAATGTTATAGTGACCAGGGGAGAAAAGTCAGGGAGAGTACAATTTCCGGAAAACAAGTCAAATGCAGACGTCCGTGACTGGACAGAAGACATCAAAGATGCTTTGGGTATAAAGGCACATAGGGCTGGGGACATGGCTAGAGAAAGAGGGACCTTTAGCCGTGCCGTGACGACAGTATAGGAATGCTAATCGATAATGACGAAGATAATGATGATGGTAATAGTGGTGGTGATGAAACTTTATTCTCATAAAATGTCCGAACACTTTATCTCCATTGCGATGTGTTTTTTTTTTTTAACGGAAAATAACCTGTCGGTACGCATAACAAAATGTCCACTAACTAGAGCAAACGTGATGCGTTAAAAAGGTGCCGGTACGGTGCACTGTCGCCTATCGCCAGACGAAAGGCCTGCCTGTCTTCCAGTAAAATCCATTCATCTGGGTGTCCAGTCCTACTTCCGATACACTCGTATCACACCCTCTTCCTTCTAGAAACTCCAACAACCTTCCCCAAGCCTGTTATCTCACCATTCCAACAGCTTTCCCCAGAACTGTGTTATCTCAACATTCAAAGAGCCTTCCCCAGAACTTTTTTCTCAATTTTCCAAGAGTCTTCCCTAGAGCTGGTATCTCATCATTTCAACAGCCTTCCCTAGAACTGTTATCTCACCATTCTAAAAGCCTTCCCCAGAACTTTTATCTCAACTTTCCAAGAGTCTTCCCTAGAGCTGTTATCTCATCATTTCAACAGCCTTCCCTAGAACTGTTATCTCACCATTCTAAAAGCCTTCCCCAGAACTTTTATCTTAACTTCCCAACAGTCTTCCCTAGAGCTGTTATCTCATCATTTCAACAGCCTTCCCCAGAACTGTTATCTCACCATTTAAAGAGACTTTACCAGAACTTTTATCTCATCATTCCAACAGCCTTTCCCCGAACTGGTATATTACCATTCCAACAGCTCCCAACAGCCTTCCCCAGAACTGTTATCTCACCATCCCAACAGCCTTCTTCAGAACTTGTTATCTCATTATTCCAACAGCCTTAACCAGAACTGTTATCTTACCATTTCAACAGCCTTCTGCAGAACGTGTTATCTCACCATCCCAACGGCCTTTCACAGAACTGTTATCTCACCATCCCAACGGCCTTTCCCAGAACTGTTATCTCACCATCCCAACGGCCTTTCCCAGAACTGTTATCTCACCATCCCAACGGCCTTTCCCAGAACGTGTTATCTCACCATCCCAACGGCCTTTCCCAGAACTGTTATCTCACCATCCCAACGGCCTTTCCCAGAACTGTTATCTCACCATCCCAACGGCCTTTCCCAGAACTGTTATCTCACCATCCCAACGGCCTTTCCCAGAACGTGTTATCTCACCATCCCAACGGCCTTTCCAGAAACTGTTATCTCACCATCCCAACGGCCTTTCCCAGAACTGTTATCTCACCATCCCAACGGCCTTTCCCAGAACTGTTATCTCACCATCCCAACGGCCTTTCCCAGAACTGTTATCTCACACTTGTAGATCTTCTCCTGTAACATATTGACAGTCACAAAGTTTCTCGTAGACAACAAAGTCAGTCAAGGACGGTGATGGTCTATTAGGTTTTTTTTTTAAAGGGATATAACTTTGTTTTCTTCCCTGACACCCCCACCCCCAACCCCTTTCCACCTTGCCATTCCCCTCCCAACTATCCTGCCGACACGCCAAAGTAGTTAATACAGTCGGGTCAACGTCAGTTCTGAAATATTTGGTTTTTAAGTGAAAGAAATGAAGGTCGCCAACGACGCTAAACTGAAAATAGTCTCACTGGACAGCAAGGTCTATGTATGGGGCGCATGGGACAGTTGCTAGATTTTGTTCATAGTTTGAGAGAGAACAAAGAGATCGGTCCCTTTCCTGGATATCAGATACATGCTTTCCCATGTGGGTTCCGGGGCCCCAGTTGTGGGGAAAACAAGAATAGACCCACTGTCTGCTCAAAAGCATGTCGTAAGAGTCGACTGATAGGGAGTTTTCTTCGTTGTCGGAGTACATCTGCCTGAGAGGCAAGGAATCAACAGTCTGCATGCAAATGAGTCAGACATGTGAAACGGATGTACACGCAACACTTAGGTTCTGGAACATTACTAGAGTCCAGAAGTTAACGAACAACCAGAACTTTCCACCTGAGCTTACAGCCAGTGAACACACAAAAAGAAAAAGAAAGAAGAAAATATACTCTTCCAGCCTCTATTGTAGACCGGTCAACACTGGAACTGAGATTTTGTAACTATCATTTCACTCCGACTGCATTTACTTCCCAGAATGTTTCCTGGTAACCATCTTAGATGGGATGAAACTAGTAACTGACGTCATTTTTAAAATCTGCGAACCTAGACAAGGATTGGGCCTTTGTTTTCGATGTCAATGATTATTGTGCCTTTTAAAATTCTTCCCCCTCACACTTTAACAAATGTCTCCAAAACTCATGTATGGATCAACGGTAACTGTTACACGTGGCCACAGATTTCAAATGCCCAATGATATAACAATTTGCAATTGCACACGTGCTGCTGTTTTCTAAACGCGCCAATTTTTTTTTCTTTCTTTGATGCACTAACAATTTCTATATACCTCCCATTAATAGTACATACAGTCAGTAATACAACACACACATGGAGAGTGTTCACGTCTGCAGCGATGCGTGGTGATTATTTTGATTACGTATCCCGCATACAATGACAAATCCACAACCCACGGATTTCTAATGCTGAAGGTCACCATCTGAGAGTGAGACACCCGTGAAAAGCGTGCAATCTGATATCTTGAAAAGTTTCCCTGCTCAATAAGTATGAGCATGGGTATTTAGAGAGAACCATGTTTAATTAGGCTTTGGACGGGTTCACCTGAACTCTTGATTCCTGGCACCACTCACTAAGTCTGTGATACCATTGACATGATTGATGAATACAGTGACATGATATAAGTTCTACAAGTGACATGAAAGAGATTGATAGTGACACCCATTTCTAGAGGTGACATGATAGAGGTTTATAGTGACAAATGTATGTTTTACTAGAGACACGATAAATGTTTTATGTGTGGCTATTCGGAGGTTTATATTCGTGACACATCAAATTGTCTACACCTGACACTGTATAAGCTATACATTTGACAGAGGTTCTATACGTGACACTGTGTAGGCTATATATTGAAAAGAGGTTCTATACGTGACACTGTGTAGGCTATATATTGAAAAGAGGTTCTATACGTGACACTGTGTAGGCTATA